CTGAGAATTCACCTCAGGGTCATCATGAGTGAAGGATACACTGGTTGTCATCCAAATTAGGGAAAAAGAAGACATTTGTTGGAGGAGCCTTTTGATTCTGACAGATGTTTCATGCCGTCATAGTTTTTTCAGTCCAGAAATATATTCTCTGAATGAGTCAGCCCCTAAAATATGACACAGCCACTATGTATAGTGGAGGGCTGATTGATAAAACCTTTCACTGCCTACCACCCAGTACTCAACCCTGCTCTGTCTCCCTACAGTCTGACATCACTTTTTAAGAGGAATCATTTTCAGCGAAGAGTACAGTACAGTTGAAGTTCAAGTGAATCATCAGAGGTCGGCATTAAGATTACAATCATTGTAGGTCAGATTCTGCTCTGAACCTTTCCTGCTCTGTCTTGTTCTCACGTTTTATCTTTTATATTAGAAGAAAACCGACAGTTTGGTGTTTTGTGTTTTTTTTTTATTTGCAGTCAAACAGGAAAAGGCAGACGAGAGCAAAACAAGCAGAGAGAGAAACAAGACGGGCAGTTGAATGTTTGCATCTCTCCTGGAGGCCAATTAGGTGTCTGCCAGGCTGTGAGTCTCCTGCTGCTGCCGGGCTATTTCATGGCAGGAAGATGTGGCACTCTAGCATGCCCATACTGTAGCACTCGCTGACTCATTTAACCCTGCGTGCTCCACATGGGAGCCCGTTCCTTCGCAAACACGTGCCAGTAGTGGGTGTTAAGTTATGAATCAGCGGATTATTTCCAGATGTAGTCCCACTTTAGAACATAAACTTTCCAAAGTTTCCAAAATATGTGTTTTGCTCCCACATGAGCAACAAAGAAACAAGTTTTGTTACAAAATAAGATTTACGTGAAATTCCACATTATACATGTTTATAGATCAACAGGATACACTTACCGTAATCTGCTTCATAGAAGAACGAGTATAGGTATATATCTATATAAAAAAAACTGCATATGTTGTTTAATTTTCTCTTTATTTTATTTTATTTTATTTTATTTTAGGCTATTCTAAATTACAATATTTGTATATGTGCTCTGTGTAGCATAAAGATGCTACCGCATTTTGCAACCCTGTGTTGTAATGACAAATAAATGACCTTGATTCCCCTTGACTAGAGCAAATAACATCTGTAGAATTCACTTTAAAATCACATGTTACTGACTCGACAATCCCGATCCAAAGCTCGGTCATGTATTTGTGTCTGCACACTACCACTGACATGTCAAAAGAATATTTTGTTTTACACCTGCAAGATTGAGTTAAGCCAAACCCGGCATCCTCTATTCCAGCCATCCGCACAGTAGTGTCAGTAGGTTATGAATGTCTATATTTAGAGCTGGTTGAGTGCTGTATCCCCTCCTCTGCCTCCCTTTTCAAACTGCAGCTAATCCACAGTGGCTCTGTCATCCCTGCAGCCAGGACACATTAGCCATTGAACACAACACAAAAGCACATGCAGTGAGCTACGTTACATTTATGTCATCTACGCAACCTGCTTCTGATCAAAAAATTCCCAGATGCATCAGTGTTTGTAGAGAACATTTGAACTGTACTTTGATTACTTTACTTTGCATGCAGGCCAACAAGCAGACAAAGCATAAATAAATATGTCATTAGTCATTGTTAGAGGGGGAAAAAATCCAATCCCTCAAGTTTCGTCACAATTTAGATCAGTGGTGTGGCAGTTATTGTCTTAAACAGTTTGAAACTTTATTTATAATAATGTCAGTACATATTTTTATTCAGGTTTTCAGCAAAATCAAAATCATCATGTATCTGAGAAACTTTTGGCGTTAAATTATAGTTTTCTCATTTAGCCAGTCAATGTGTCTCTGTAAGAATATCTGCATGTGTCTATTAAGTTAAACTTTATTCTGAGAAAATGTTTGACCTTTAGTTATGGACCACTGGACAGATCATTTCTATAATGAGCTCAGTGGTTATTTGTAGTATCAGCATATTTCTCATGAACATAAAAGCCTCAAATCATCTCAGAAGTGATCATCGAAGAGATTAAATGCATTTATTATCAGGCAGTTGATCTGTATCTACAATCAGATCCCTTGTAAAATGAAGTCCTATGTTGTAGAACGAGTTAGATGACTATTTCTGTACCAGAGTAAGTAAATACGATGGCGTTTGGTGATGTTGGCCTGTGTTTGATAGCAGGGAGGTTTGTTTGTTTCTATATGTCACGGTTCAGCTGTTCATGTCCTGTTGGCACGACACCGACATGGAAATTATCTTCTCTGTCTGTGTGTGGTGCTGCCTGCCTGGCTGGTGCTTTGTCATTGATCTTCCCATCAGAACTGTTAAGATACATCAGCTGTACTGTAATATGGAACAGTACAATGATCAAGGTACTGTAATGTGGAAAATAAAGCGATATCCACTTGTTCCGCGCCAGTCCAATCACGTACAAGGAATTTGCCTTTTACAATGAACCACAGGCTGGGTTGAGTTGTGGTTGTTGTTCTTAGACAGAAAGCATATTTTCAAAAATATTAAACTATAAAACCAAAAGCTTTATTTATATAGTAGGATTAAATTAAATTACATGATGGGATGTGCGATATAATGCAGATTGTAGAATCCTGAATACAGTACAGGTAAAACAAATCTTTCTTTCCAATTTCTTTCCATGTTTTCCATTTTTAACTTTTTCGATGTCCTGCTGTCAAGAACTTTCTCAAGAGTTTTTAGTCTATTCCAAATACCTGAAGCTGTGCCAGATTATGTTTTCAATTTGTCATGTCTTTACAGTAATTGAGTCTAATTGGACAGACTCCAGCTGGGTCCCTCTGTGTACTCAACAGGGCATGACATTTCATCCCAGAATTAAATTTGACATTGCAAATGCTTCAACATCCACACACATGCCAAATAAAAGCCTTGTTTAGCTCAGAAGCATCATCCAGTGGTTTCTATTTACTATATCATGCTCAACATTTCCCAGCACTTGGGTAGCTCTATTCCCCCTATCGAGGTTACTGGAACTGCAGAGAAAGAGGGGACAACAGAAAAGAGGAAATATCTGATCAATGCCTCAAAAAGAGAAGCAGAGAGTCCTGCGGTGTTAAAGAGACAGTATTGTTTTAGACATATCAGGGGGATGTGTCACGCTGTGGTTTTTCAGTTATAGGGGACAGTTTCAGTCATTACAGAAACTCAAACTAAGAGGATTCGAGCCCAAGAAGAGTTTGGGAAAGCAGCATCAGGGAATTCACTGTAGAACAGTTGCAGGTACTGTGTTTCTGGCTTGAATCAAAGCAGCGGCGGTGATGAGCAATAGTTGTATTACACTGTGTAAATGTGGTTTCATGTGTCACTGCTGCTTTTACAAACGACTGTAGGTGTGCGGCCTGCTGAAAGCATGTGTGTATGTGTGTGTGTAGAAACAACGCTTACAACATGTGAGCACCGGGGTAACACAAAGAAATTAGTAAATTTAAGTTTAAGAGCATAAATGAATGAAATTAACATTCTCAAATTTAAAAAGTGACTTCTAGTTGCTGCTAACTAGGTGTTTACATCACTTTTTATACAACCAATTTATACATCGACTTCATTAGATCTCAAGAGTCAAAAAGAGACTTCCTTGCGTTAAGTTTTTGTTGGTTTTGAAAGTCATGCAGCTTCCTGAAACCCATGTGCAAGATAGGTTCATATGAGTCAGCTTCTCTTTAGTAAAGCAGCGATAGTGCTTCTATAGTCAAAATATATAAGGAAGGTAACAGGTAAATAAGGAAGTGAACGTTCCCACGGCCTTAGATATTTATACCTATTAACCTCACTGTTATCTGCATGTCTGTGTGGGAGCGAGAGAGAGAGAGAGAGAGATTGAGAGATATAGAGAGTGAGCAGACAGGAAGTGATTCTGATTGGCTGAGAGCTGCAGCAGTGCCCCAACGCCATTCGTTCGGTCAGGTGGTGCTGTCTCTGACTCATTTCCCAGGGGCAGGGAAGGAAACCCTCCAGTCAGCGCTGCAGCCAGCCTCCCCCTCAGATAAATTATGCATCTCACTATGTGTATGTTTGTTTGTTTGTGTGTGTGTGTGTGTGTGACAGAAGATTAGCTTTATTGAGTGCTGTGCCGTGTGTGTGTTTTATCTACTTTGTAGTCCCCCCACTACTCAGTGCTGTAGTGTAGATTGTCTATTTTGAGCTGTTTTTACAGTAAAAGCAAGAATGCGGGGGAGGAGAACTCATTCAACCTTTTTCGAAGTATAAATGATGCATTGAAGGTCACAGGATCTGGGTGGAGGTGCTGTGCGGTCAGATGTATTCGTATAACACAGACAAGGCTCAAAGTGGTTTAAACAGGGCCGTGAGAAATTTGTAGGACGGTCTAGTTTTGTGGGTCTGTGTGTGGTAAAAGTGTGTATGTACATCAAGGCAAGCCTACTCACATATGTAGGATCTGTCTTTTTTTGCTTTTGCTTTTTTCTTTAAACCCCCAAAATGCAACTTGCTTTGAAAATACTGTGTGAAAATTGCATGTGTGGGTTTCCTCCTGCACTACAAAAATATTTAAGTCAGACAAACTGGAAACATACTGTCTAGACGTAGTTGCATTATGTCTTCAGCTGGCAGAATTTTGAAATCAGTCCCTGGGAACATCATCATCGTGTAATGTATTGTCATTTTTCAACGGCAGTGGTTAACAAGCCTCTAGTAAGCAATTTTTAAAATACCTCCCCCTACACCTCATTTAGCTTAAGAAGGTTCTGACTAGGTGTTGGCTGATCATGCCACACACCATCATGATCACACATAAAAGCTGTGACTGAAAAGCACAGTTATTCCACTAAATATACATTTTCAACGTACACAATAAACATTTTGAATGAAAATATTATAATTATAATATAATTAAAAATTGCAATAATTCAAAAAAACTAAAGACTTTTTTAATATTTCAGATGTCATAACAATGCTACTACTTAGTACTTGTAAGTCAAAGAGTGTCCTCTATCCTGCAGAGCTGAGTTCCACCCTGATGGAGAAGATGCAGGCCCAGGAGATGATGAGCGGCCTGAGGATACCGGAGATGGATGAGCTCGGCCAGTTCTTTCGCTCCCTGCCGACCTCCACGCTGGTGGGCATCGGCGCTCTGACCGCCGTGCTGGCTTATTGGTTGGCCACCAGACCCCGCCCCATCAAGCCACCCTGCAGCCTGCTGCACCAGTCCGAGGAAGTGCCAGTAAGACGGCGCACACAAATAGATTCATAGATGCATTCATAAGTATATTAATATTGGTGTTAGGGTAAACATGGACACAAGCACACACTCATTTCCAGACACACCAAGTGGATCATTTGCACTTCACTTCTTAAAAGTCCTATCTCTGTCCCCCAAACGGTGCTCTCTTACCATCCAGCTGCCAAAATCCAAATGAGAGAAGTCAGAGTTGATGTAATAAAATGCTGATACACTCATTTAGGGCACCTTCAGTTGTTATTGTGCCCTCACAGCAATACGCTTCATGAGCAGGATGGAGTGCTTTGTGTTTGTTTGTTTTTTCCCCCTGGGTTTTACCTGTCAGGCCACATATGTGCTGCCCTAACCATCTGAACAGTGAAGCTTGACAGCAGCCTGAGAGGAAGACCTGCCGACACTACCGCAATCTCCTCTGCATGTTCTTTGTACTTTGATTTATACTTTGATTAAAGAGACACTAAATTTGAGCAACAATCAAATATAAGACAGTAAAGGACAGTTCAGTTAAGATTATCTATCAATAAGTGTCTTTATTAGTGAAAATCTACACCTTTGCCACACACAGACACAAGACAATACACAAATATTTTACAAAATGTGTGCAAATGCTTGTTTGGAGCATGCCCACAAGCTGTGGATGCAACGTGCCATCGGTTACACCTATTGTGGTTCACCTTAACCACCATCCCCAACCTTACCAAACACACACTCTGTTTGTCACACAAACACACCACAGCCCTTTGCCTTCTCGCCGTGACAGGTGAGACTGGCACCATTTGTCATGAATGTGAAACTTCTTTGAAGGCTTGTTGTGGCTATGAGGTTCTTTTTTGTTTTGGTAACCTGAGAAGGTGTTAGACTGTAGTAAGACTACTTCAAACAGGTTGAGACGACATCGCATGACAAGACGCACGAATACACTGGCAGGTTTCGTAACACGCCAGGCTTCATAAATGTTTTAACCTAAATGACTCATTTGCAAAAAGGAATTTGCTTCAACAGTTTTTTGTCTTTATGAGAATGAACTCTAATCACCCAGAATGCATCAGTTATGTACACACTGGGGATCACAACAAAGCTCAGCTCAACTCAGCAGCACAGATATTTTGATATGCATTTGTGAGCTAACAAAACACGATAATCCATTTTTTGTTAGCTCACAAATGAAAAGGAAAACTATTCTTATTCTCCCTCAGGCTTTGGTATCCATCAACACGGCCTTTATGATGGAGAAGAATTAGAATCTTGTTTTTACAAATTATCTTTTCAATTTTATTACCAACCCCCCCTCGAGGTTAGTGAAAAAGTTGTGAGAACGATTTTCACTGTTCCTTTGTCTCCCCTTTTGCGTCAGCATGAAGATGGAGGCCGCAGGTCCATGATGGGTGACAGCTCCAAGCTGCTAACTCATTACCATGACGATGCCAAGACCATGTATGAGGTCTTCCAGAGAGGCCTCCACATATCTGGTGGGTTTGATGTGAGGTGGCAAATAGGCACTATTTAGTGTTACAGACATGTGCTCTTTTGTCATCACACACCACACACAACTTTTCAAACTTCTAGACGTACAGTAAAAGAGTACACACACACACACACACACACACACACAGAGTAATACTGTACATTACTTGTCAATTATATTAGACACGTAAGCAACCCTGTAGTTGCACAGTCTGACAATGCTGTGGTCTGACCATGAAACATCCAATCATGTCCCTACTGCTGGAGGTAAAATGAGTCCTCTGGTTGTCATCGTTGCTAACAGTAACGGTAAGCTCTGAGTAAGTGACTAAGTGACTGACTCAGAATGCAAAGACATTACTATCTCAATCATCTTTATCTTCAGAGGTGACTCACTTATAGTTTCTAACTTTTTCAAACTATTTTTAGAATAATTATACGATTGTCAATGAGAATGGAAGTGAACGATTAGTTACGTAAGTTAGAAGATGTCCCATTAAAAAGTCAAGCATTTGTCTACAATACACTTTGCTTTTGGTGATTTATGGATATTCACCAATAAAATAAATTCAAATGGTGATCAATTAATTTGAAATAGTAAAGTTTGTAAGCTTTAAACCTGCAGTAACTAGTAAAAAAAAATATTATGGCAAGCTGGGCCCCCAGTTGTGAACACGTTGACAAATCATCACCTTTCAGGTGGTATGACGGACTTGTTAGCAAATCCAGCAGTTATGGAGCAACAATATAATTCATTTGGAGTCCAATATCATTTTTCTTTTATCTCCACCAACTCCAGATAAACATATAAGGGTCGTTAGCTGCTCCTCTATGTTCACCAGGTAATCGGTAACTGTGTCTGTCTGCGGTTTGGTGCTGAGCAGGTAGTGCACTGTGGGTTTTTAGAGCTGGGGTGCTAAAAACAGCTGCCTGCTGTGACAAAAAAAACTACATCATGAGAACAGTGAGAGCGAACCAAATCAGTAAAGTTGTGGCTGGACAGCTAAACAAGGAGCTGATACCCGTTATAATGCTCCATAAAGCCGAGGAGAGCTGCAAATTCCGGTGATAATACTATGTAGGTTAATCACTACAAGTGACCTGTTTCACATTGTCCAATTGTGTTACATTGTCATTTGATTGATTGTTATTATAAATATAATCAGCACTGCTATCATATATCATAATATATTTGTAGTACTATGTCCAACTGGGAAGGTTCTCATCATAAATATTTATTTGTTCAGACTTTGATGTCTCACTGTGTTTTCAACAGGTGATGGACCTTGCTTAGGCTCGCGGCTCCCTAACCAGCCTTACAAATGGATGTCCTACAAAGAGGTTAGTGACATTCAGGGGACATCGTATCTTCACAACGACAGGTACAGTCCTAGCTGCGCACTTGCTGCAGGGACCCAGGGTTCGAGTCCGACCTGTGTCCCTTTGCTGCGTGTAATGCCCTCTCCCTTCCCCTATTCCTGTCACTCTTTTGCTGTCACTATCGATTAAAGGCAATAAAAGCTTAAAATTATATATATATATAGATATCTATCTATCTATCTATATATCTATCTATATATCAATATATCAATATATCAATCAATCTATCTATCTATCTATCTATCTATCTATCTATCTATCTATCTATCTATCTATCTCTCTCTCTCTATCTA